CCTCTCCCTTCCTGCTCCAGCTGAGCTCGATCCTCTTCCTCTCCCTTCCTGCTCTGACTGAGCTCGATCTTCCCCCTCTCCCTCCCCGACTCTGACAAAGCTCGAACCTCTCCCTTTCCCTTCCCAGTCTCCGACTGAGCTCAATCCTCTCCCTTTCCCTCCCTTGCTCTGGCTGAGGTGGATCTTCGCCCTCTTCTACTCCAGCTGAGCTCAATCCGCTCCGACTGAGTTTGACCGGACGTTGTTCCTCAGGTTATCTGGAAGCTCCTGTCCTGCCGATCACTCCCAGGTTCAGTCTGACGCACTGCCCCTGTACTGACTGAGCTTTTGTGGAAGACTATTCACAGATTGCTGTTCGAAATCCCCCAGTTCATTCATTGAACACTAAATGCCTGACACTAACGCAAAATGAGCTATGATGATAGGGGAGTCACAGAATGTGATGTCTAAAACCTGATACCAGCTCCTGAATCCAGTGTAATACAGCCATGGTATAATGACACTGTTGGAGTTTTGGATAAATGGATGGGATGAGGAATGAAATTTACAGTTAAAAAATGATTAACTTTTTGAAGCAGGTAACTTGTAAAGCCAGTGCTTCACAATATATTAAGGTAAAGTCCGTCTGTCATATAGCAGCAACAGTCTGACGTTAGTCTAAATTAACTGTCTCAAGTTATTTAATGTACTAAACTGTATCCAACTCAGTCATGCAGGCCCCAGACCAATACCAAACCTAGTAATGTCTGAAGCAAATTTCAGGATACAGCTTGCAGCATATAAACTGTGATGCAATATACAACATTTGTCACTGTTTAACATGTCTTCCGGCATCTTTTATTTACGTACAACGCTTTCTCTGCACATTTGGGATACATTAAAAATAACGCTTTAAGCTTTACTTTTAGTGAATGTGCAACTGAGAGTGAGATGTAATGTAAACAGTACACTCTGCCCTGTGGTAAATGTGATTAATAGCTATATGCCAGTAGCTAGACAGCATCATTGTGATTTCAGATGATTTCAGATCACATGGGACTGGGACCTAATTGTAGCAGTCCAGTTCAACATGGTCTACATAGTTAATAAATGTTTATCAATTTGTATTCGTATGGTGTCCAATTCTCTTCTAAGACTCCCAGAAGCTGTTCATGATATTTATGTCCTTGCATGGTTCGGTTTAGAACTGATATTGAAAAATCAGACAGTGAATGGGGGGCAGTGGTCATGTCATGAGAGTAGGAGCAGAACTCCAGGCTAGTGTCCTTCAGGGCATGGCTTCAAATCTCATCATTGCAGACAGTGAAATTTAAATTCAATAAAAAGCCAGCCTAATTGTAACCATAAAAGTACTATCGATTGTTGCAAAAATCCATTAGGTTCACTAATGTCCTTTTTAAAGGAAATCTGCTGTCCTGACCTGTTCTGGCCAATACATCACTTTATACCTAAAGCAATATGGGTGATTCTTAACAGGCTTCTGGGTAATAAATTTGGCCTAGAGCGTGACACATACATCCAATGAACAAACAAATAAAACTCAATCTTTTGTTGAGTGGTGTCCCTCAGATCAGCAGCTAGATCGTTGCAAATTGATCTACCAACATCTATGGGTTATGTTATGGACCAGACAAGACCCTCTCAAAATGTATTAAGAAGGAAGCCTAGACCCTAACATTTTATTATTTTAAAGGTAAATGTGAGATATTATGTTCCAGATGCAATTCAATTGGTCAAGTTACTCAACGTTATGCAGAACACAAATTATTCAGATGCTATAGTTAAACTACAACAAAAAGAAAGAGGAACTTGGAATAACTTAACTCTGTTAGAAAACTTAACAGAATAATGGATTATTTTACTACTAAACTGTAATTGTTCCAGTATAGTAACATTCCATAAACAGACTCTTGACAAAAGGCAATTTCAGAAAACAGTGTTGCCTGACATGTAACTCAAACAGCCCCGGAGAAAAAGGATCCAGAGAAAACCCAGAGAGACAGTGTAGCAGCCAGGAGAGATTCACACCCTCCACACTTGCTGAGACCCCAGCGACAACTGCAGCTGGATAAACTAAAAATCCTGTTTCTGTGGTTGGAAGTTTGACCACACCCATTCAGGCTGCTTCTATTATTCCAACTTTTTGAAAACACACCCAAGGCCTCACGAGTTGTTTATCTTCTCATAGACTGCTCAACACCTGTCCCCCAATCTGTCTTTAAAAGAAACCAAGACAAAATGCACCTCTTAAAGCCACAGTATCATCACAGTTAGTATTAGCAAGCTACAGCTGGACTCCTGAATTGGACCACTTTGCAATGGCTTCCTGATTGAAAATCTGATGCACTGAGGTGCAATTTCACTCTGATCATTTCCAAAAAGTCTTCCAACATCACTTTGATTGTGTTTATTTTACTAAGATCTGTAGATATCCTGAGGTGTAACCAACTTTTTGTTCTGAGAAGTTATTGGATGTGAAGGGTTGGTGAAATATAAGATCAGAAAATTACCTGCACATATTCCTGACCTCTAAACATTCGATCACGATAAAATGTTGTAGCATTAATTTGTAACACAGGTTTAACTAGTTTAAACAGATCAGACAGCAGACTGTAGCATCAGATACAGCGGGACAATCCAAGAATGAGAGATGCCAGTGCAGAACTGTATGTTTGAAGTAAACAGAGAAGTTTGGCTGTGCAGATTGTTGGAGCCCAAGTAACTCTCCAGAGGTTGTGGTTTAGATATACAGAGAATGATGTAGGATGTGCTGATCTATGCATCTAAATTCCCAATACAGACTTTATTAACACACTCTTATCGCTGGCCTTTTCATGATAATTATCTCAGTTTATAATAGGATAACTAAAGTCCGCAGATATAACTGTTTGATAAGTCTTGCACCTCTTTCTGATTTCCTTGCAAATTTGTTCAGCTGTATCTTTCCCACTATTTGGTGATCCAGAGAATAAGCCTGGCTCTGTAAAGGGACCTTAGTTTTAACCACCTCAGTCCTTGAACCCTCTGGGACATCCCCCTCTTCAGCACTGCAATATTCTCCCTTAAGCAATATTACGACTCCAGCCTCCTTTCTTCCCTTCCCTAACTTTCCTGAGCACCTTGTATCTAAATCCTAAGCTCTGTGGAATCAGATCTCCATCATTACCCTCTCATCATATTTCATAAAGCTATCTGCAGCTCATCAACATTATTTACCACAGCTTGCACACTTACATAAAGACACAGCACTTTTGATTTAGAAAGTATTACATGCTAGCTTAATCTAATCGCATATAGAACTATATTATTTCCTACTAGGAGCCCATTTCTGCAGATGCTGGAATCCGAACTGAAAACAAAAAATGCTGAGATCACAGCGGGTCAGGCAGCATCCATGGAGACAAAGCAAACTAATGTTTT